CCATAAGTCTCAACACATGTCGCAGTTACTGTCGCGGCGATGATGCGACCAGATGTATCAGCCTGCGGTCAAAGGAGGAGCTCCTCATCGCACTCGAATTTAACAGGATGATAAGTGCGTTTGCCGTTGCCACCTCCGTAATGCTCATCCGCACGTAAAAACTGAGAAAGGAAGATGAGGGCGCGGCCACAGCCTGGGCATCAGCTCACCTCGATACGACGAGAAGTGAGACGACCATTGAGGTCGAACTCCACGGTAGCTCTCTTCAATGGGTATATCTCTTCCCTTTGCATATGCTGTTCTGGTACGAGTGAGATGTAGTCCACAGTGTGTAGGATAGTAGAATCGAACTCAACCTGATGACAAAGCTACTGGATAGACTCCTCGACCGGCTGAGTCATTCCTCACCTCGTGGTACAGTAGGCCTCCGAATGCATTAGAGAAACCAATGGCCTTGGAAGCCGTGGAGAAGGCGATGGTCACGACTTGATCTTTTTGCTCCGGCTCATCATCATCGTCACGCTTGCCACATGTTAGCGTAACTTCATACCTATTGTCTGACGTGTACTTCGGAGCCTGCGAGGCTTCATTGCAGCTGTACTGGAACGCGCCGCTGAACTGACAAGCGAGCCAAGCTTCAATTCTCCACAACGCTATGGGGTCCTTACATCCAGTAGGTACTCTCTCGGGAAGACCTTAACGTATGCCTCCGTCAAAGCAGCTTGGGTATCGCCGATCATAGTAGCTCCTTCCTCGCCAGCGAAGTACAGCGTGTGATCAAGCCACACCTGCTATGGACAAATTTCAGCAAGGCACAGTTGACAGTGGAAACATGGGAGTTCAACAATAACGAATAGTTCTCACCTTGTCAACAGGTATCTTAGCAAAGGCTCGCGCAATAGTGAGCGCAGCCTCCTCATTGTTGGCAATGAGCGTCACCTTGTGTGACTCCCCCAGGGTGACCTTATCCTGTGAAAGCTCGTTACAGTGCATAGTAACATAGTAGAAGAATTGCTTGAAGTAAACGCGGTGCGCTGCATTAGGGTCGCACTTGTATGAGCTTGAGCCAATCTAAAAACGGGAGAGTCGCACCTCTCAACGGCTTCTGGACTTGCCTGAGATGCTTCCCTCGTCCTTTTCTCCCTCGGGGCGCGCGACGAACATGCGAACCGTATCGGGTTCCACTTTCGTAGTGTCA